TGCAGAAGACCATGAGGTGTGGGTGAAAATTATGGAAAAAGCTAGTAAGTGGACCTCAAGTTAGAATTTGTTTTAACTTACTAATAAGTCTTTGAATTCAAATGGTCCTCTAGAGATTCATGCACTTCCATAAAGTTAGAGATATCCTTAATATAAGTCTCTTGTATGGATAAAAACATTGGTTCCTACACTTGCCACAATGCAAAGTATAACATTTTCAGTCCTCCTTTCAACCTCCTTGACACCATCCCTCCCTAACCCATCTTTCAAACTCCATGATGTTGTTATTTTCAAAGTTTAGATTATTATTTAAGATCTGAACTCTCTATTAACAGCCTCATCTTACATTAGAAATGTATGCAGTTAAAACAACCAAAGAGCTAATAGAACAATGGCCAAAGCATCAGTAAGAAGACACTGAATTTGCCAATATGTATGTATGGTTGTTAATAATAAAAACACAGACAGAAGATTTTATAAAAAAGTTCCTAGAAATATCAGGAAAACTCATGTCTGTTCTGTACTGTTACTGTTATGCATTGAATGTAATATGAAAGGTCCATGAAATATGTCGCTGGGTCAGGGGTCGTCAGTTTACTCAATAATAGAAAAGCTGTCCCTTAAGGAAAAAGGACTGGGAACCACTTCCCTAAATGTCATTATCAAAGCAACAATCAAAGTTAAAGGTCAGGAAATAAAACCTATTCAAATAGGCCTACTATTTATTAAGACTTTAAAACTCTACTTTGTTGTAGGTGTGGTTTCATCACATTTGACATTAGCCTGCCTGCATAAGCAACAACCCTAAAACAGTCATTACATAAAATATTGCAAATTCTAATTTTGACTTTTTTTAAACAAAACCTTGTTATAATATAAATAGAAAAAAAAAGTCAATTGAAATAAATTTGTGTTGCATGTTGCGTTCATAGCACACTGTAATGTATCATAGGTTGGAAGAATAGGTCTTAAAGGCCCTAACATTTCAAATTATGAAAAGTTGGGCAGAGTTTGGAAATGCACCAAACTAGAATTAAGGCTAAGTTCACACCGCAAGTCTTAATGCTCAATCCAGATTTTTTTGCTCAGATCCGATTTTTTTGTTTGGCTATTCACATTACCTTTTAAAATGTGGCCTATATCAAATTCCAGTGTGAACTGTTTGCGGTTTCGAACTGACCCGCATGCGCAAAAGAACAATAACAATGACATCAGACGCAGCACGCTGTTGCACTAAAGTTAGGGAGGTTACGGAGGAAGTAAGCATTATCGCTTTTATTTCAAAATGTTTGTTTAATGGCAGCCGTAACATTAATCAGCAGGTGCTGAGGAGGAGAAGAATGAAGAGAAAGAGAGCCAAATTGGCTATTTTGGCCTTTTGCGGGGTTATGGCTGCAAATTCACTACCAGAGGTCTGTGGTGGATGACAGGAGATGAAGCCCAGGTAGTGGTGGGAACCAGCTTCACAGAGACGCAGTTTTTTGAAAAACTTTTGGATGTCGAGGCAACTTTTGATTATCTCTGCTCAGCGCCTCTCCTCAAGATTCCTACAGCAGGACCATCTCAATTTTAGGTGACCCATTCTCCGTTGTTGGAAACGTGTAGGTTGTTTCGGTCCTTCTGCAGGCAGTTGTAGATCATCAGTCTGGTAAGCCTGCTACAATTGGTGAAATAATCTCTCCTGTAATTTCTTTACTTTACTAGTGCTAGCCGTCATGGAGTGAAAAAGTCTGTTATTTAGGTTTATAAAATAGTTAAATAATGCTGCCTTGTGAATACAATTATGTGGTATGACTGTCGTAGCCTACTGATATTTAAAATATGATAAGCACTCTCTGTGTTTACAAAACCATGTGTTTTGTTTTGAGCAATCCCCTACTGATCATTTTCAAAATTAGCCTAGAGGTCTGTGTGGATGCGGAGACGAAGCCAGGAGTGATGGGAATGTGATGTGAATTGCTTCACAGAGACTCAGTTTTTTGAAAACTTTCGGATGCGAGGGCAACTTTTGATTATCTCTGTCAGCGCCTCTCCTCAAGACTCCTGAGGAGAGGCGCTGACAGAGATAATCAAAAGTTGCCGGCAGTACACTCAATTTAGGCGACCCATCTCCGTGTGGAAATGTCTAGGAGTTGGGCTGTATTGGCTGGCAACGGGGACAGGTTACCGCACGCTGTGTAACCTGCTTGGCACTGCCAAGTCCTCTGTGTACTCTGATTTTGCAAGGCCGTGCGTCAAGTCCTCATGCCCAAGTTCATAAAACTGCCCGAAGGCGATGCCCTCCGGGAGGTCCTACAAGGCTTCCAAATGAGGTGTGCTTTTCCACAGTGTGTCAAAATTAGCCTATATTTAAATGTTGCACAGTGCAGTAATAACTAATTTGTGTTTCCTTTCATAATTGTTTACATGGACAAAATTGTAAAATAACACATCACATGTCCCTATAACAGTTTCACCAATATCTACACGGGATGGCCTGGAAGTGTCCATGACGCCAGGGTTCTTAGGAATTCCTGTGTCTTTGCAATTGCAGAGAGGGGAGCTTTTTCCACCAGTAAGTTTTTCTGTCACTATCATGCACACATGTACACACACACACAAATCCTATTTGGAAACAGTACCATCTTAGTATAAAGGAGATTAAAATGTTTAGAGAAACATATTATAACATCTAATAAATTCAACTTCTCTTATTTTCCATCACCAAAGGACACAGTGGAAATCAAGTGTCCAAGTACCGATCATGCTGCTTGGTGACCCGGCGTACCCCATGCAGAGCTGGCTGCTAAAAGGGTACACTGACACAGGGAACCTGACAGAGCAGCAAAGGTACTTTAACGAGCGACACAGCAAAGGCAGGGTGACGGTGGAATGTGCATCTGGCCAATTGAAGGGGCGGTGGAGATGCCTGTGGAAACGGCTGGATGTGGACATCTCCACTGTTCCTACCATCATAAGTGCATGCTGCACTCTCCACAATGTGTGCGAGAAGCATGGTGAGGCCTATGAGGGACCTGGTCAAGCTATTTTTGAGGACAACAGGATAGCAGAAGGAGGGGCACAAGATGCTGCTGAGCCATCAAGAGTCAGAGAGGCACTGAGTTTTTTTTTTACAGCAAACACTAATTCACAAAAGACAACTTTAATTGACAATGTTTAAACATAACATTCTCAAAGTGTGGAGTAACAAAAAATGTTTTCAATACAAATGATGAAATGGTCAGTTTTGTTCTGAAAAAAATAAATAAAAATGAAATGCATGCCTGTAAAATTCTCAGTTGTGCAGGTTTATGTAAACAACTAATCCATATAAAAATCGTCATCAAATTTTCCACACAAGGATTTCTCTCGGCCAAAAAATAAGAAAACCTGCTCATTTCTATGTTCTACTTTGAATAAATACTCTGAAAATGTTCATGTTCAAAATGAAATTATTCTGCTATAGTGCAAGTCTCTGTCGGTTTAATAACACTATATAACGTTAAAACTGTAACCTGAAATCAAACTGTCAAATATAATCTGAACTGGAATTAACCTTTATAATGATGGATACACTTTGCATAGATTGACCAACAATACTGAAAGCAATTCACAATATCGTGATCTGATTTACTTTTCCTCATCATCTGGAGGTCGGTAGAATGGTGGATGTCCTGATGCCTGACTGAAGGGCTGCTGAGCTGGACCTTGAGGGTGTGCTGACACCTGGCTGAGGGGCTGAGGTAGATCTGGAGGATGTGCAGGGGGATGGTTGAAAGGTAGAGGTTGAGCCAGATCTTGCAGGAAAGATAGAGGCTGGTTGGTTTTCTCGTTACATGGTGGAGGCTGAGGTGAACCCATGCTAAATTTAGGGGGCTGAGTAAAGTTGTAAAAGGTAGGCTGAGGTGGCAGTTGTCTTGGGTTGTACTGTGAGGGCTGGACTGGTGCCTGGTAGAAAGGTGGACATGGAGAATTTGACCTTGCAAGAAACTCTGTGAACATTAATGTGTTCATGTTCATGCTGTGCTGCCTGCATTTTCAATTGAAGCTCAGTGTCGTCTGTGTTGTTGAGGGCACTGCTGATCTTTTCAGTATAGATTTTCAGTGTTGCTTCCATCTTGCTCTTCCTTTTCCTGCTCTTGGCAGATGTAGCTGTAAGAAAGAGGAGAAAGTGTTTGGCCATTGTATCACAATTACAAAAATAAACAGTTAGGCTTGGAGGGTAGACATGAGTATAAGGAAAAACTTAGCATTAATACAGTACAGTACAAAAACAACAGAATACAAAATAGTAATGGATGGGTAAGCTAAGCGAATACTTTACTTGTGATTTAGCAACAGCCTGATAAAAACATGATGATTCTTACTTACAGAGGTCTTGCTGGCTGTTGTGCTTCTTCCAGTGGTCTCTGTAATGCCTGCAGCTGATGAGCTTTCTCCAGATGTAGATGGTGCAGAAGACACAGAAGATGCAGATGGGAGTGACTCGGTGCTTGTATTATCTGGTGCAAGCAAACATATCATGTAATGCTATAATATGATGTATTTGATGTATTCAATGCAAATATTATGAGCTGGTTCACGTTACCACTTTACATAACACCCTCAACACACACGTTACCCTGAGAAGATGAGGGTCA